GGGGTTGGGGGCGCTCAGGGGAGCTGAGGAAGCAGGCAGTGGGGGTAAGATATCACTCTTACACTATCAGTTTAATTACAAGACACCTTGTGTATATTTTGACAGCAGCCCAGAATACTTATTCATATCCTGTCTTTTTAGGTAAAACATCAAGACAGTATGGCACACCTGGCTGAACCTAAATGGACTCATATGTTCCCTATGTTGGTGGTAGGTATTTGGATACTCAGGATAACACTATGGTACAAAAGAGATATGTCATTTTGATAAACTCCAGTAAATTAACATAGCTTTTCTACAGCTAATTTAAATAAAAGATTCTTATCTTAGGCCCTCTTTTGGCATCTCGTTTCTCTTCAGTAAAGCATTTAGACATTTACTTGACACTAAGAACACACTTTAGCTCCACTGACTCAAGCATGTCCTTAAATACTTTGTTGAATAGGGATGGGCTTAGGCTCTGCTTGTGGGCATACCATGAACTGCCTATAACTTGGTAATGCTGAACAATTAGGCTTCTAGCTCACACCTAAACCCCATTGCCATCTATATACCAGGCATTCCCTTATTTATCCTACTGGGGTGGACGAGGGAGAGCACACCTATCTAAGCACAAAACAAAGGATCTGTTGGTTGTTTCCCTTTATGCAATAGCCCAGTTGTTAGATAACTCACCCAGGACTTCAAGGACAGGTCTCCCACATCATGGGTGTGTGCTCTAATCACTAGACTGTCAGACAAAAGTGATGGACAGACACCAACCCCTTCCCTTGTGTTTTGGGAAAAAGGGCTGGCATAGGAACCTCTTTCTAGGGGAGGAATCAGAGCTGTGAATTCTAATTGGAGACAGATGTCTCCCTGAAGCCCAGAGGAAGGCAGCTAGTATCCCTCTCTTCCCAGTTTGTCCTGTTAGTTAGCTAATGCAACTCCATTTTCAGTGTGCTAGAATCTGTGGATCCCATTCACCTAACTCACTCCATGCATTGTACAGGGAACCTACCTAACCTGAAGTTACATACCTCACTTGATTCCACTAGGTTGCAAGACATGTAAAAGTGAGGTAGTGCAGCCTTCTGTGATGTATGGATAAAGATCCATCATCCTTCCATATTTACACACTAGTAAACCCAATTCAACCCCTTGCCTTTTAGGACAGCCCCTATTTTGTTGGAATATTTATCTTTGAACACCCATGCTTCACTCTTTCTCCATTTCTAGGCAGCCAAGCTAAGACTGTTTTAGCCTGAAAGTCAGTCTAGTCAGCCTTCCAAACCAGAGCTGTTTAGCAAGAATAACAAGCCTGTAATGAGAAAACTAGGTGATGAAAATAACAATGATTTCAAGCATTTACGTTTGGTGACAGGTTTCGCTGGTGTACTCTGCAAAAGCTGAGTATTCCAACTGTGGTGAAAATGAGTACTACAACCAGACCACTGGGATGTGCCACGACTGTCCCCAGTGCCAGCCCGGAGAAGAACCTTACATGGTAAGTTCAGATTCTCATAATCTTGTTGTAAAATTCCAGCCCAAGAGATGACATATGAAAAGATGACCTACAAAAACAAATGTATTATTCATAATGGGATTTGATGGAAGTGCAGTTTAGTGCCTGTGTACACTGCTAAACAGAAGCAATTATGGATCTCAGTGTGCTTACCATCTATCATACAAAAGCACTCTGGGGCTGAGATGACCGAAATGCAAGTTGAGATCCGTGGCTAAAAGATGTTGTACAAGTTCAGATCTTGTCTTTGAAGCAAGCATGTCTTTGAACAAATATATTGTTAATTTTTCAGAGATGGCAATGATTTATAACATGGTTCTTTTATTTTAATATTAAAGAGAAAGAGGCAAGAACCTCAGATAATAATCCAGCAAACAGCTGAACATATACATAGTTAACTTTAATTGAATGGGACTGCTTGTGTGTTTTGCTGGACCAGGGTTTCACTCATTTATACTTCAGTAAATCACATTCCACAAATGGTTTCTTAAAAGCAATATTTTAAAACAGGTCCAATATAAAAATCTCTCTCTCTCACAATTTTGGCAGTGCATTCTCAGCTCAGTTCTTGTATATCAGCTGGCCAGCTATTTAAAAACTGGCATTAACACTGCAGCTCTTGTGTGATGAATAGCTTGAAATGTTTTCTGACTCCCCACATACAGAGTTTAATTTTGCTCTCCTGCTCAGATAGTTTGGCATCAAAGAAACTTGGAAGCCTCTGCAACATTTTAAATTACAGTTCCCAAATACCCATTTAATTTACTGTAGATAGTTGTTGTGTATTAAAAAACAAATTACTGAAATCCTGTTTGATTTTAATAGGCTAAACATCCTATTGTAAGAATTTTGCACAGTTGCTAATCCTGATTAAATATGTTTGTAATAACCAGTTGGTATTAGTTTTATTTAATCAAAATTTAATGCTCATCTGGGAAATTTGAATTCAGGGGTTACCCAGTTTCATGCAAATGTTGCCTTTGTGAAGCAGGCTTCTTCCCTACACATCAGTGAAGAGACCACTGACATTTCTGCTGGAGTCGTTAGGTTTGCCCATATTTTTTTGCTTTACTCTTTAATCCAAAGTATCCTATTTCATTGTCATCATTTTTTAGATGAGATGTACATGAAACTCACTTTAAAATCTGTCAGAAATACGATATAAGTGGCAGAAGATGTCACTTCTTGGAAATACAAGACGGTGTCTTTTCTCTTCTCCCCTTCCACATTATTCCACAGCCTGTGTAATACAGATAACAAGAGACTGAACCACAAACCCGGTTCTCCTATTCCTCAGCATCACAAAGCCAGAAAGTGGGGGGTATGCTGTGAATGTTCTTTTTTCCTAGAAGGTAATGCAAAATGCAGTTCTGTGATCTATCATACAGACATGTGGATATGGTACCAAAGATGAAGACTACGGCTGCATTCCTTGTCCATCTGAGAAGTTTTCTAAAGGAGGTTACCAGATATGCAGGCGCCACAAAGATTGTGAGGGATTTTTTCGAGCTACTGTCATGACACCTGGTGATAAAGAGAATGATGCAGAGTGTGGGCCTTGTCTTCCTGGGTAAGAATTTAACTATGAATCTTTGCTCTATAAAATTGTTGTTCAGCATACTCAAAATGCTTGTTCTGGTTCAAAACCCCTGACCTCCTCCTTTCTTTGCCTGTCTGATTGTAAGTGCTTTGCATTTATGTTTGGTGACAGGTATTGGTAAGTACAATATCTGTTAGGCATAATTTACAGTGTATGCATAAATAGTAGATGCCAATATCTGAAACTGATTGGAGATTTTAGTAGCAATAAATGCCATTAATACCATGAAAATGCAAAGGACTGGAGAAATATTTTAGAAGGAAAGAGTCTCTCTATATAAGACCAGATAGCAAGCTGGGTAATCTACAGGGTTTAGTAGCACAGTAGTTTAAAAGCTACTAAAATCATAAGAACTTCTACCACTCTCTCTAGTTCAAAAGCAATATTATTCTGTGGCTGGGGCTTGTCACAGGCCCAGATTTCATTTAATAAGTCCATCTTGGAAGCAAAGATGCACTGAAAACAGGCAGCACAATCCTGAAATAAAATAATACAACAGTTACCAAATTACATTTCTGGGAGATGTTCTCACAGATATCTTTAAGCACCTACATATACAAGTATGCAATGATTTTTTAAAAACTGTTTTAACTAGCTAAATAAGTTGCCCCAGGGCTCAAGTAAGGGTGAGCAAAGCCCACTTGTACTGAGATTCGTGAAAGTCACAGCTCAAAACTTAGTCGTGAGTCTATAAAAATAGCACAGTTGAGCTCCATGTTTACCTTACTCCAGTAATTTTATACAAAATCTCCCTGAAATGTTTATAGGTAAGAAAATTTATTCCTACCTGCCAGCCCTACAAAATCACCCTGAAATGTAAAAGTTTCTTCTTTCTTATGATCAGCCCAAGAAGTTTCTCCTCAGTAGCTATGGGAAGCTATGATAACTCAGAACTGCTCTCAGACCAAAGTAGCTGGAGTGAAGTAAACTCTTCCCACACCTAATCCTAAACTTGACCTCCTAAGCAAGTGCAGTGAGGGAGTATATGGCAGCTTTTGGCCATGGAGAAGCAACTTTTTTAAGGAGTAAACCTCAAGGGGCTGTTCCACCAATGTGGCAGCAAGTATAGGCAATAATTTTCAACAGTTGAATGCACTTAAGTAACATAAAACATACAAATCCCAAGATTACATGCCAAATTCTGTGGTCATTACTTGGAGCTACATCCTGCCATGAATATTTGAAAAGAATTATATTTCTGATGGATTCTGATGAAACCTCAATGGCACAATATGGCTTCATTTAATTAGCAGATCTCTGCCAGCTGCTACAGTGGTTCCTTTAAAAACACATGAGATAATGATGTAACTTTATCTCTGAATTGGCACTATTACCTACAGCCAGTATTAGTGAAGTCAGAGGCCTTCTGTGGCCAGTCAGACCTTCTGTATGCTTAAGTTCCCCTATACGTAAAATGGTAATATCATACTGATCTACTTAGGTGGGTTGTAAAAGTTGGAGCAAGATCCAGAGAGAGAGAGACTTGGGCAGGATTTACCTGCCTAAATCCAAAATTACAATCCTAAAGGCTCCTGCTCAGCTGGTGCCTAATCCCAGCAGTATTTAAACTCCCCTCAGGCACATCAATTTTAAACCTTAATGTTACCCAAGCACCTAAAATTCTGCTTCTGTGCACATACAGAAATTCCTGTCTTGACAGGACTGATCAGCTTGGCACATATTTTATGACTAACCCTGACAGCAATCCAGAACTAGATGGTTCCTCTGCATCAGGCTCTCTCAAGCATGCAAAACAGATCCATGTCCTCACAAAAACTGTGATCTAATGTCCCTTAGTTCAGTTGAAGCCCATTACTTCTTGTCCTACCCCAACAGAAGTGGAAAACAATACATTACCTCCTCTTTTACATATCTGCAGATGGTCATCATGTCTCCCTTTAGTCTTCTCTTTACCAGTCTGAAAAAAATAATTCTTTCAAATCAAATTCTTTCATATTGTTTCCTTAAAGGTGATATATTCTTGACCCCTGACCACTTTCATTACTCTGTAGACTCTAACTGGTCTGAATGTTTAAATGGTACTCAAAACAGTCTTCCAGCTGAGGCCTTATTTACACTGAGTAGAGTGGAAAGATCACTTCACATACCTTATATATAACAATTTTGTTTAAATCCACGATGATTCTTTAACTCTTGGATCACTCTCTCCTTCCTACAATTAGTGCTATTATCTGATAAATTGTTCCAATAGCATCCAAGTACTTGTTGTATAGCAAAACACCACAAACATTATTTCTGCCATTTAAAGTTCATAGGAATGGTTATAGATTCATTGGGCGCATCCACACACGCAAGCGCATGTGCTTGCAGCTGCTTAAATAGAAGCGGTGCAAATTTGAGCCGGGGCTTTTTGCCTCAGTGCACGTGCTTGGACATGCACTTTGTTGTGGAGCAAATTGTGCCACTTGGGGCAAAATAACCCTGCCTGGCTCCTCCCGGATCCGCAGCCAGGGAGAGCTAGAGCCTGGGGCCAGCACCTGTCCTGGCCCCAGCAGTATAAAAAGCCACCCTGGCAAGTAGCTCAGGGCTACTCTCTCTCAGGAGCGTCTGGGGCCTAGCCAGTTGGTATCATAGTATCATAGTAGCTAGGGTCAGGAGGGACCTGAACAGATCATCTAGCCTGACCCCCTGCCACAGGCAGGAATGGATGCTGGGTTCACAAGACCCCAGACAGGTGATCATCCAACCTCCTCTTGAACTTGCCCAAGGTAGGGGCGAGGACCACTTCCATGGGAAGCTGGTTCCAGATTTTGGCCACCCTAACTGTAAAATATTGCCTTCTGATCTCTAATCTAAACCTATTCTCCATCAGCTTATTACCATTGTTCCTCGTCACCCCAGGTGGTGCTGGGGAGAAAAGGGCTCTACTTATTTGCTGCTGATCTCCCCTGATGAGTTTGTAGGCAGCCACCAGGTCCCCCGTCAGCTTCCTCTTGCTGAGGCTGAACAGGTATCTGAACAGGTACCTGGGGACACTGCCCCTTGTGCCAGCTGGACTGCTGAAGCAGCCCTGAGAGTTCCCTGCACCCTCTACCCACTGAGGCACTCTGGCAGTGGGGGCTGCTGCCTGGCTGTGACCTGCTGTCACCTGCCAGACCCACGCCCCCACCCAGTGGAGCCATCTTCCCCTCGGGGCCAGCAGCCAGTGGGCTGTGGCTACAGGGTTGGCCTCCGTGTGGCACTACTGCCATGTGTGCCCCCTGCCCGGCCATCTGGGCAGCTATTGCCTGAAAGATGTTCTGGGTGTGGTGACCTGCTATGAACTATCAAAGCCTGTCAGCCATAGCCAGCTGGGTCCAAGGTGCTGGCTCTGAGCAGGCAGGGTCCTGCCACTGGCCTCCCTGGCAGGAATTCTGGTGTTCCCTATTGGAAAACTGAAAAATCCCTGATAAAAAAAAATCCCAAAGTCACTCTGTAAAATACCCCCAAATCCATGTTCCTCCACAAGTAAAACAAAAGACCACTATAAAGAGAGAGAGAGGCAGAGACAAGAGATCAGTTGGACAATGTTGTATTGATATATCTACAGTGTTAAAGCAAGTCTCTTATCATAATAATAAAGTGAACTCTAAATACATGTTTCATGAATATATATTTTGCTGCCCTCCCACAGGGACTATGGCCCCCACACAGAGGCTATAGCCCAACAGGGGCCAAATGGCCCCTGCAGGGGCTACCAGCCCCCCCACAGGGCCCACATGCCCCACCCCA